GTGTGTGTGTGTGTGTGTGTGTGTGTGTGTGTGTGTGTGTGCGTGCGTGCGTGCGTGCGTGCGCGCGCGCGCGCGCGCGAGCGAGAGATGAGGGTCTTATTATCAAGTTAAATGTGTTCGTTGGTCAAAGCATTCTTTATGTTGGGGATGACTGCCAGAGACCAGCAGGGGGTGTTCCAAACCCTAATACAACTACACCAGCGCCAGCCATGACCTGTACCAGTTTACATACAGCTGACTGTTAAAGGGACATTTTGACTACAGACACATGAAAGGTACGGTGAGGGTTTTATATTAGCTGGTGGATTTAGCTGACAGTAAAGACTGCATTCACAACCTTAATGTGAAGCTCTTTAGGATGGGTTAAGAGACGGCCCTCTCTTCATACATCATTGGAGTGACACCCCACTGAGAGTCAGCTTCCTGTTTGTGTCATGTTGGCCCCGCCCCTTTAGGAGACGAGGGGCGGCTCCTGAGTCCATTGGGTCCAGCCCTCAGGTAGAGCTCTGGGCCTTGAGCCAGGCAGTTCAGTGCATTTATATCTACGTATTTATTTGTTGCATTGTGTTTTACTAAGTTAGTAAAGCAATGTTTAAGTCCAGCCTGATGTTGCCTCACACATAAAAGTCTGATTGGTCCCGACCGAAGACTTTATGAATGCACTGTGTAGTCCACTGGTGCAGCTCTTACCTCCTGTGTGCTGGTGAATCACAGACAGTTTAGCTAACAATGTAGAACATGCTCACTTCTGTTCATGTGCTTTCATCCTCTAGTTACACTGAATATCAATGAAATCATGTGTCTTGCTTTCTGTTGTCATGTTTTGTTCTCTTGCTGCTGTGGGTCAGGGTTGGGGGGGTTAGGTTTGGTAAGGAGCGTGGCCCTCCTAAGAGGGCCACGAGGGGCACTGGCACAAGGGGGCTGTCCTTTAAAAAGGCTTTCATAAAAAACCTGTGAATAAAAGACAATTAAGACAATTTTATTAAAAACAGTCTGGCAGCAGGGCGACTGCCAGCGGGACAGGCAGAGAGGAAATGTTAAAAGGGGAAGGGAGGTTAAAAAGCGGGCAAACATGGGGACAAAGGAATAAAAAACACAATCGCACACCGCACCTCCCCAATGAATATATAAATATATATAAAATGTATAAATAAATTTGCATAAAACAATTAATTAACATATAATAAATGTATATACGCACAAACACCACCTCTAAAACTTTAAAAAGATAAATAAATAAGTGCTTTAAAAAAGATAAATTAACATATAATAAATGTATATACACCCACACACCACCTCTAAAACTTTAAAAAGATAAATAAATAAATAAGTGCTTTTAGAAATAAATAAAAACATGAGTGAGATACTGTGTAAAATTATGCCCAATAACCCCATCCCACGTCCGCCGCTTGATTGGGAGTAAAAAAGGGGGGGGGGGGGCTCGTCTGCCTGTGGGGAGAGGGGAGGACATAGGGTGTGTCTCCACCAGGGGAAAGTTAAAAAGAGATAAATAAATTAAAAGATAAGATAAATAAAAATATAAATAAATAATTTAACAACAATATACAATAAAAAAGAGTTAAAAAGGTGAATAAAACCATGCATAATATATTAAGACCACACGTGAAAAACAAATATAAATATATGAATATATAAATATAAATAAACATGTATATAAAGGAAGTGCTATGGTGGAGATATAATGGAGTGGTGGGAAAAGGCAAAGGGATGGCAGGCGAGGCTCCAATAAAAACAGACTGGGAGTTAATATTTTTCATTCAGCCCGTGCGGGTCT